TGTAACCCCAGCACTAAAGAGGTTGAGGCAGGAGAATCACCATGAATTCAAAATTAGCTCAGTGGACTAAACAACGAGTTCAAGGCCAGCCTGAACTACACAGTGAGACTCTGTCTCAAAACAAATAAATAGGGCTAGGGATTTAGCTCAGTGGTTCTGCTGCCTAACTCGCAAGTGCAAGGACCTGGGTTCGATCCCTGTACCAAAAAATAAATAAAGGTGTTTACGATTAAAGTAAAAGGAAGTCAGCAAGGTGGAGCCTAATCCAATTTGAGTAGGGTCCAAATTAAAAGAAATCGGGTAAGGGCTGAGCATTTAGCTCAGTGGTTCCGCCGCCTACCTCGAAAGTGCAAGGACCGCCCCCACCAAAAAAAAAAGAAAAAAGAAATTGGGCTGGGTGAGCACCCACAGTCCCAGCCACTTGGGAAGCTGAGGCCAGAGGACTGGTGTAAACTTGAGGCCAGCCTGGGCTACACAGTGAGACTGTCTCAAAAACAAAAACAGGCAAAAGCCTGTAATTCTAGTACTTAGAGGAGGCTGAGACAGGAAGATCGCCCCAAATGTGAAGTCAGCCTGGTCTACCTAGCAAGATCCTATCTCAAAAAGAAAGGGCGGGGGGAGAGAGGAAAGAATCTGGTGTGGCGGTGCACATGTGATCCTAGTACTAAGGAGGCAGCAGCAGGAAGATTGCCAGACCCGAGGTAGCCAGCCTGGGCTACACAGTGAGTTCAAGGGCAGCCTGAACTAAAACAAGACCCTGTCTCAGAAAACCAAAACGGGGCGGAGGGGAGAAGGAAGGGAGGCCTGGGGATGGGACTCAGTTGTGAACATGTGCCTCGCATTGGCAAAGTCCTGGGGAAGGAGAGACAAAAAAAAAAAGAAAGAAAGAAACTCACAGAGGGACCACCATGGGAGGACAGTGAAGAGAGGGACTAGGAGCAATCAGCACTGCCAATGCCTTGACCTTGGACCTCCGCCTCTGGAACTGGAGAACACCTTCCCTCTAGTTTAAGTCACCAGATCTGTGATACTAGGTTACTTTTCAGCCCTTGTGAACCCAGGCAGGTCCGACTGTTGCTGTTACAAAATGATCCTGGGACCTCTGGTCTAATGGTAGCATCTGTTACTGGCCTAAATTATTATTATTCTATTGCATTTTTAAAATGTAATTTTCATGTTTTGCAGTACTGGGGATTGAACCCAGGGCCTTTGCACTGAGCTACACTCCCAGCCTCCCATTTCTTTTTTTTTTTAAACAAGTTTTTCTGTGTCACCCAGGAGGACATTGAACTCTCGGTGACTCTCCTGCCTCAGCCTCCCAAATGCTGAGGTTACAGGCGGGCACCACCGCATCTGCCTATTGTTATTAAATATTACAAAATCGTAAGTTTTCTCTTTTGATCAGTTTGTCCACACTTACCCTATGGAATTCCTCCCTAACTAATGTTTCTTTTACCAAGCAGAGCTATTTGGTTATATTGCAATACAGCTCCTGGGAGAGGAGAATAAATGCTGAACTCTTTCTCCATGATGGCCAACTAAGCAGTTGGTGCCCTAGTTACCCCCAATGGTGACAGTGACATTTCGTTATCTTGTTGCTCTGTGCTGGTCTCTCTCATCACTGTAAATTCCTGGCCTTTTCTATACTGTTAACTCTTTGTACCTGTGGGTCCCTCATGCATGGATTCAAGAAACCACAGATTAAAATACCCATTAAAAATTACATTTGACAAGCCAGGTGTGGTGGCTCACACCTGTCATCCCAGCACTTGGGAGGCTGAGGGAGGCAGGAGGATTGCTGTGAGTTCGAGACCAGCCTGGGCTACACAGTGAGTTCCAGGTTAGTCTCAATTACATAGTGAGACCCTTGTCTCAAAAACTCAAAATCAAAAACAAACAAAACAAAAATTACATTTGACAGCTGGGCATGGTGGTGCATGCCTGTAATCTCAGCATTGAGGAGGCTGAGGCAGGAGGATTGCTGAGTTTGAGGCCAGCTTGAGCTGCACAGTGTGTTAGAGGCCAGCCTGGACTACATAGTGAGAACTTGTCTCAGAAAACAGAAAAAAACACAAAAAGGAGTGCATCTGAGCTGGTTGTAGTGGTCCAGGACTGTAATCCCAGCTCTTTGGGTGGCTGAGGCAGGAGGATCTCAATTTGAGACCAGTCTAGGCAAAACAAAAAAAAAAGGTCTCACCCCCAGCACCACAAAATAATACCATTTTAAAATATGTATAAAATGGGGCCAGGGATTTAGCTCAGTGATGCTACCACCTGCCTCGCAAGCACAAGGCCCCAGGTTCAATCCCCTGTACAAAAACAAAACAAAAGAAAAGTATAAAATGAGAAAGTAGGGTGCACAATGCTGCTTTATTCTGCAGAAAAGAACAAGCCCTTCTGAGACAGGGTTCTCACTAAGGTCTCCAGGCAGGACTTGAACTTGGATCCTCCCGCCTCAGCCTCCCCAGCGCTGTGACAATGCATGCACCATGGCACCTGGCTAAGCCAAGCCAATTTTCAAATGTCTGTCCCATTCATCTGCCTCTTCCACGGCTGCTGTCGGGTTGTGAGGTGGTTCCTCTCCACTTGCACGTTATAAGGTGATTCATCTGTGGTCTCTTCTGGTTCTCATGTCGTGTTTGCCTTCCATTTATACCTGGGTCTGAGACTCACCCGGTTTGGGGAGTGAGGTTAGCAGCCAGTTTTGTCTTTCTCCAGTTGTTCCGATGGGTCTTTATTTTAAAAATCTCTCCCTTCACCTGTGGGCCCCAGCCTGCACGCCCCTCGGCTGTTTCTGGGCTCCCTTCCCTGGGGATGACCTGTGTGCTGCTGTTTTGTTAGAGGCCACAGGACAAGGATGTGGGACAGTCACTAAGCTTCGTCCCTCACCACGTGTGGCTCTTCTCTTCCCTGTGTCTCCTGCTACTTCTTCTGTGATGTTAGGATCAGTGTTTTTTTCTTTGGCAGTTCAGGCTGGCTTCAAACAGGCAGCAATTGTCCTGCCTCAGCCTCCCAAGTGTTGGGATCACAGGCCTGCGCCACCATGCCTGACACCAGGCTTTAGTTTCTGTGGGTTCTGTATCTGTGGATTTAACCAACCTCGGATCAAAAATACTTGGGAACTGTAATCCCAGCACTTGGGAGGCTGAGGCAGGAGAATCACTGTGAGTTCGAGACCAGCCTGGGCTACATAGTGAGTTCCAGGGCAGTCTCAACTACATAGTGAGACCCTGTCTCAAAAAACCAAAAAAACGAAACTAAACAAACCTTGGGGAAAAAAATTGCACCTGTACTGAACATACAAAAATTTTTCTTATTATCTCCCGAACAATACAGTATGACAACTACTTCTGTAGCATTTACAGTGCAGTAGGTAGAGATTATAGAGTCCACAGGAGCAGGGTGTGGTGGCAATGCACCTGTGATCCCAGCACTCTGGAGGGTGAGGCAGGAGAGTTGCAAGTTCAACTCTAGCTTGGGTCATTTAGCAAGATTCTGTCTCAAAAAAAAAGGGCTGGAGATGTAGCTCAGTGAGAAGGTCCTAGGTTCTCTCCCCAGTGCCTTTGAGCATTTGCACATAGTTGTATGCAAATCCTGCACCTCTTTTTTTTTTTTTTTTTTTTTTTTTTTTTTGGTACCAGGGATTGAACTCAGGCCCTTGTGCTTGCGAAGCAGGTGGCAGAACCACTGAGCTAAATCCCCGGCCCTGCACCTCTTTATCTCTAAGTGGCTCCAGGGTCTTTGGATTTCAGCACTGGCGGATAGAGGGGACTGGGTATAGAACCAATCTTCTGCTAATACAGAGGAAGGACAGACCCTACCTTTGTTGAGAATCCAGGAGACACTCCATGTGCTTCTGTGAAGTCATCTCTACCAAGTGAATAAAGTCATGGGCAAATCGTCAGTTTTACTATGTATATAAAAAAGGAAAAGAGCTGGGTGAGGTGGCACATGTCTGCCATCCTGGCTGCTCAGAAGGCTGAGGCAGGAGGATTGCAAGTCTGAGCCCAGCCTCAGCAGTTTGGCAAGATCCTGTCTCAAAATAAAATAAAAATTGGGAATGGGGAGGGGAGGTGTGGCTCAATGGTAGAGTACATTTGGGTGCTATTCCCAGTATTGCAACCATTTGTTTAAAAACGGAAAGAAGAGCGCCGAGCACGGTGGTGCACACCTGTCATCGCAGAACTCAGAAGGCTGAGGCAGGAGGGCTGCCACAAGTGTGAGGCCGGCATGGGTTACACAGCGAGACTATCTCAAAAAGCCAAAAGGAGGGGCTGGGGATTTAGCCCAGTGGCACTGCACCTGCCTCACAAGCACAAGGTCCCGAGTTTGATCTCCGATACCAGAAAAGAAACAGAAAGAGAGGAGAGGGAACCATATTTGCTTGTACCATAGATGTCTAAAAGTTACAGAGGGGGGGTGGCACTGGCCAGATGGGGACCTCAAGGAAACCCTTTGAGCTTCCCTGTGTGCACATCTATTTTGTTTTCTGAGGCAAGGTCTTGCTATGTAGACCAGGGCGGACCTTGAACTGGCAGTGATCCTCCTGCCTCAGCCTCCCAAGTGCTGGGATTCCAGGTAAGCACCACCATGCCTGGCCTGTGTGCACATTTGGCTTAGAAGAGCTCTGGGAATGTACCATTCTATTCCTGCAAACAGTTAATACATGAACTAGAAAATTAAAACTTGAACTAAGCCCGGCAAGATGGCACATACCTGCCATCCCAGTAATCTGGGAGTCTAAGGCAGGAAGATCACAAATTCAAGGTCAGCTTGTGCAACTTAGCAAGATCCCATCTCAAAAGCACCAACAGAACAAGAGAGCTGGGGATATATTGCAGTGTGAGGGTCTTGGGTTCCACCTCCAGCCTAGGAGGTGGGGGCTGAACTAGAAAATTTGAGACCTGGGAGGCCTGGCCAGTTTTCACCCCATCCCTGCGAAGTGGAGGGACCTGGGCGTGGGCCCTGCCTCACCTGGTCCCGGGTCCCTCCCTGCCTAGGTGGGCCGCGCCCCCAACATGGTCCTCCTGCTCGACTGTTCCACGGCAACCACGGTGCACAGGGTGCTGCAGCGGGCCCCGTGGAGCACCGGGAGGACGACTGCGAGCCGGCCCTGCGCCGACGCCTGGAAACGTACTACACCTGCTGCGCGCCCCTCCTGCCCTTCTACCAGCAGCGGAACCTGCTTTGAAGTGTAAGGACGGAGGCTCCTCTTGGTCCGGGGCACTGGGGGGGCTCCCACAAGGCTCCCCCGATCCCTCCCTCTTGGCCTGGCCCAGGGGTGGCGGCCGGGGACCCGGCTGTTGCTCCCCACCCTTACATGCTGCTCCCGCGGCCGAAGAGGGCACTGGGCCCTCGAGGCTGCCAGGTCCAGGCTTGTCCTGGCCGGGGGCTCAGGTCTGGCCCTGGTGGCCGCCCCTTCTCTAGATCTTGGCAGAAGAGGCTCCCGAGAATATTTTCGCCAAGTGCTGCTCTGTCATCGAAAGTCTGCAGTGAGCAGGGAGGAGCCAAGGGACTGCGGGGCCGCTAGGGGACGGAGAGCCACAGCACCAGCGCCCCATCCCACCCTCCCCCCAGGTAGGTAGGTAGGTGCCCACCAGGGGACACCTGGGGATGGGGCCCAACAGCCCCACCTGGAGGCGGCAGCTGTTAGTGGCTCCCGAGGCTGGACAGTCCATGATGAAGATTTTCAAGGCGGCCAGGGCGCCCGCTCCGCCCCATCTCCCACAGGGTCCCCTCCCCAGGGCGGTCAGGCCAGGCTCTGCCCGGGAGCTGCATCCATGGGAGCACCTGTCCCCGGGGCCCAGCGGCACCCCAGCTTCCCAGCAGCCAGCAGCGCTGGGGAGACAGGGTCCCTGCGACGGGGGTCCTGGGGGCCACACCCCCTCCTCCACGAAACACAACTGCGGCAGGCATGCAGGGTTTCTTTCTTTTTTTAAACAAAAAGCACTTTATTTAACCAAAAAGAAAGGGACAGGGGAGGTAGAGAGGATTTAAGAAAGCACAATGCACCTGCAGAAAACTATTTTATATTTTTCTTAAAAAAAAAAAAAAACCACAAAGCAAGTAATTTCCAATCACCATTACCAGGCTTTTTTTTGTTTTTCTTTTTTAAACAACATCTATAAAGAACAAACATCTGCTTCAAAACTCTACAGGGAAGGGAAGGCAGACAGACAGCACCCAGCAGACAAGGGGAGGTTTTGTTATCATTTATTTGTGAAGTTAAAAACGAGCGATAAAAAGTAAAAACTGCCATACAAGTTTTTGTTTTTGTTCTCACTGTTTTCAGTTTCAATCTCGTCTTGAACAGATGAAAAGACAAAAGACCAGACCAGTCCTGGGGAAGGGACGGGCAGGGCGCGGGGCTGAGCTAGGGAGAAGAGCAGAGGGGAGAGGCGGGAGGGTCCTGCGACACCGACACCTGGTCCAAGGAATGTTCCAACTAACCAAAGAAAAAGGAAAGAAAAGGAAAAAAAAAAAAACCCCAAAAATAGCAAGAGTGACTTTTTTTTTCCTTTTTAAAGTTTATTTTAAAAAACGATAAGGGCCGGGGATTTAGCTCAGGGGTGCTACCACCTGCCTTGCAAGTGGAAGGTCCTGAGTTCGATCCCTGGTACAAAAAAAAGGGCTATGGGCAGTAGGGAGAAATGGATCGTTCTGCCCACAGGGGCAGTGTCAGGGAGGCTAGGCTGGGGGATAGAGATTTATATATATATATCATTTTATAGCTTTGTTCTGCTCTTTGTGTTCAGTTTTAGGGGTTTTGGCAGAGACTTAACTCTCGCTCTCTTCTAAGGCTGGCTCAACATGAAGTTCCCGATGGTGAAAGGAAAGGACGCGAGACACACAGGACGAGAGCGGAGGGCCTGGCGCCTCAGCGGCCGCCGCGCTCCCACCAAACTAAGAAAACAGTGAACGAACGAGAAAGCCCCCGACAGAACAAATGGAGAAAACAATAAAGAATTTTCACAGATGAAGAAGTTCACATTCATTCGATTCATTGAGCCTGCGGAGAGGGAAGAGATAGGAATTGGTCACTAGGAGAGGGGCGGCGGCGGCGGCG